TTGTAATTTTTATAGTGATAATAGTTTATAGTTTATATAATGAATAATAATCTTACTTTAAAAGAATTGGTCGTATACGATATTTACTATATCATTATCTCTGCAACCACAAAACTTCCCTTATACGGCTAGGAGGTACAAAAACGATACAGCATCTCAAAATATTAATATTTATGCGTTTACATATAGGTAGGTCTTCAAAGATAAAAAAAAAATGATATCTTAAGATATCTAAATGTCATTGTGTCTATGCCTAAAGCGTATTATAAATGCGTTGCGCGTGTTTGGATTTTAAATTGCTTGAAATTATAATAAACATTAAAGTAGGTACCTAACTATATAGGTGTAATATGTATCTCTATTACTGCGAGGTGAATATACAATATAGGTAGGTATACACGTTTTATCATTTCCGACGGCAGAGGAAACGACGTCGTGTGAAATAATTCCGATTATAATATTATAATATAACTATAATACAAAATAGGACTATATAGGTCACGGGCAATAAATTACTACTGGGAGCGGATTACGAATTATTAATTTTATTCGTCAATATTTTATACAGCAATCGTTTTTTATTTACGGTGGTTCGGCCGCGGCACTGTTTCGTAACAATAATAATAATAATAATAATAATAATAATAATATAATATCGACTCGAAAAATAGATCCGACCGGGGAACATCAGCTGAAACTTTGATTTCACCGAATAGCACATTTTGTTTGTATTTATGTTGAAAACTGTTCTTCGGAGTTAAGCGACTTTTATTTTTAATAAACTTTCGCTTACATTTTAAGTACAGTTCAGGGAAAACACCTGTTGATTTACAAACCACTGAGGCAGTTATTCGGGTCCTTGATGGCGTTTATGGTTCAATAAACTAAATAATGTTTTTCTTTTCGGCCAAATCACCTACCGGATTTTCATTATTTTCTCTTACGATATCCAACTTAACGTTGCGGGAAATGAAAAATCCAATGACCGTCCGCAGTAAAAATATAGCAGCACACCATAAAACGGGATATCATTGTGAGAAATATTGATGGTGCCTCCAGAGTTTTCTCTTTCCATCGTTATACTGGATTTCTGTAAAAGGATTTTATCGAGTTCATTTATACCTACTTGGTATTAATATTTTTACAAAGCATTTTGGAGCTATCAAATTGGTTTCCAAGTACAGGTAGTTAAAATTTTACTCTTAATAAGTATTTTTCAATTGGCTTCCAAGAATTTATCTTTAAAAAATATATTAGTTACCAAAATGTTATTAATACTTATCTTTAAGTTGGACGTTTTTTATCTTTCTTAGAGTAGTTGAAATCATCAGTGTTAAGCTTAGATAAATAGTTTTTCATCTAGATAAAGATAATATACCAAAAACATATTTCGATTAACATAAACATAAACTCAACTGAAATTATCTATTTAATAAATAAAAGATAACCATAATTATTATTTAATCTACGTAGTTGTACATCTGAAGATATTTATTTTTTCTACACACAATTATTTAGTAAATATAGAACGAAAATTTCACAAGAGTAGAGACAAAAAAAAAGCTAAACAATAAGTAAAAAATTAAAACACAGACAATTAAGGAGCTGAACGCGTAATTTTAAAATATATGTACACATTCATAAAAAAAAGCGTATACGTTTAATAAAAATAGTATAATTAACATTTTTGTGTGGCTTATATTATATACTTATTGGCTAATATTTTTACGTATCAATCAAATCATGTTTCAACCTTGAATTTTCACCAGTGTCATATTTTCGAATTTAAAGTTATACATGGCTGTCGTGGTCATCAGATATTTACAACAAAATTAAAATAGTGTACAGAAATCAACATTATCGATTATTTTAGGAGATCACGATGATTAGTATGATCAGAACTAAATTCAATAAATATAATATATAATAGTAGGTATATCCAGCACTATAGATTAAACTTGATTACTTGAATGCTAAGTGCCAATAACTTCATAAATGTAAACAGTAAACTCGTATAATATGAGTATCCCTTGTTGGAAGCTAATTCAACCAGCCAATTCAACCCTTGAACTATATGTTTAACCAAAATTGGGAGCCAAATACCAATTCGATGGTCACCAAACATTTCACACTATCTGCAGTCATATATTTATAATGTTACCTTTACACAGTTTAACTATACTGAGAGTGATGTACATAATTTTTAATATTGTATGACTACTTGCAACCCTCGTACAATATTACCTATAACGATTTCAGTCTTGTTCATCCATTAAATATACAGAACCATTCAAATGTTGCATTACAAATATAAATATAAACCTATTTTTGCACATAATCCCGGCAAAGCTTTAATCAACTGGGCACACATGTACGGTGTACATATTGTATACCTGCTTATGTTATATTATGCACTTTTTGGATAAAGAATAATGATCATAATATGTAATCGAAGTTTTATTAGAAAATCGTTTGACCGTTTATGATAATATCAGCATTTAAAAGTTGATGTCTCGAGTTTAAAAATTACGGAAAAATCTAATATATTTGTATAAGACTGGCTCGAATGATAACACCGTATCATCTGCTTTGGAAAATCGGCACGAACATTTTATTGATTCAAATCGAATGCGGAAAAGTGATTGCATTTTTCTTGTCCTTCGTCTCGATATTCGACTAGCCGCGAATCGCGATAACATTGCGGGACAATAGAGCCATTTCGTGTGACGTAATTTGTTATCTCTTTGGTCTCTGCACAGCCATACACAAGCGTATAAATATGATGATAACGATATATTTTACGATACAGCGGGACGAGGAGTATTGCAGTGTACTTCCAGTGCGTATCATTTCAACCGTCGAAAAGTGAAACGTCGACAAGCTGGCGCGTAGACGTCTTCATTTCGGAAAACCGAAAACGTCTACCCCGCGTCGATCGTGTGATACGTACACAAAGCGTAACACAATATCCAACTATGACTCTGCCTCGTACAATGTATATAAAATAGTAGCATAATATAAGTATTATAGGTTATTTTACACGAGTCTACAGGCAATCGCAGCTGATGTACATTATACGGACGCGATCGTATCCGCTTGTCAACCGCAGAGACCACGCGGTACGATACAATATAATAGAGGAAGGTCCGACGCTCCGGCGCGAGTGCATAGGATATTATATACGTGTAATGGGTGCGGTTAATCGAAACCTATACCGCGGTCGTACGTTCTATACCTATGCTCGTCGATCGGTCATTGGGGTGTGAACGCCGAGGAGACTTCCTATATATAATATATATACTACGGTATAATACTGAAAGCGCATACGTAATACAGCACGCGGTCCGTAACAGTGTCCGCATTATACTTGAGTAGTTGGGTATATAATATACAAATATACAATATTATAATATTATACAAAGCGTTTTCCGAGACTTGTTTGCGGTGCACAAAAGAAATGGCCGTTTTCGAATATACATGGCATTACCGCTGCACCGTATAATATTGATATAGGCGATGTGGCCTCACATAGCTAGCACTGTTGTATAATATTCGTCAAGACTATAATATTATTATATATCATATTATTATGCATTAGTCTGGGGTGGTGGCTTTAAACCTATAATAGTATATATTATTATAATACGCTATTGTAGTATAATCTCGTACAGTGCGCATAGTGGCGTGGTCAGGATTTGTTAACATTGCGCGAGGCATCGGAACAAAGAAAAACATGAAGTATATAACGGAATTTTAATTAGTTATTATAATTTTATTATATGGGTTATTTTAAGTAGTTTTATGATATTAACTGTATAATTGCAGGTTGCCGAGCTGGGCGGCCAACGCAACATCGCTGAATATTCGCCATGTACTATTATATAGTATGCGTATAGCACCGCCGCTGTGGATATGGTTTGACTGACATAATATAAACTCGTGCGTCGGTGATCGGAATCGTCGAGACGATCTGACGAAACAATAACACGGTACGACTCTCTGACCCGAGGCAGTGCCCCCCCCCCCCTCACTCTCTCTATCTATCTCATTATATTTCTTCATCTATATATATATATTACGCGTATACATATTATGGTATATATACCTTCCGGCCCACGGGTAAACGCTATCGTCAACAACGCCTGCTGCAATATCGCGTCTTTCACGCAGCGGCAGCAGCAGCTCCTCTTCGTCCGTCTCCGCGTATTTCTGTGACTCGTGTATTTGCAGGTTACGACGAGGCTGCTCAGATTTTATCGTCCCTATTGTTATTTCCCCGCTCGTCGTAATGGCGTAGTATATATTATTATATTATATTTGTGAGCGCACAAAAGGACTATCCTTCTATAATTCGTATTGCATTGTGTACGTATATAATAGCACGCACGAGGTACGCCGTTGCACGCGACGCCCTATGCCTATTATAATAGTAAAAATAGTAACAATACTATCCTCTGTTTGGCGTGGATCTGCGAACTCTCGAGTTCTCCTCCACAGCCGCGCACCGTCGAAACTTCATATGATATATTATAATGGTAGGTACGTATCGTATACAGTAAAGCCACAGTGGCGTACTGTTCGCAACGACAATAATAATACTATTTGTATTCTGCAACAGAATTTTTATTAGCCAACATTCGTTCGCTATAACATAAAGCGTTATACCCATTCAAATCTACATTCGTAACATTAGAATACAGTGAGATATATTATTATTATTATTATATTATCGTTGAGTGTCGAATTGTATATATAAGTATATTATTTCTAAAGTATATAGTCCCGCAGAGCGTGCGAAAGACGGGTTGTGACGTATATCACTGTTCGACGATTGCGCGTGGAAGCGTGCAGCGGGGTGAAAAGTTAAAAAAAAATTACGACGAAAAAAGACCGGCCTGCTGCAGTGGCAATAACGGTTACTTCCGGTAAGCGCAGTGGGGAGGGGTGGCTGAAGAAAGGAGGGGGAAGGTGTTGTAGAGCAGCGGGTTTCAGGTGCGGCGATGGGGTCCGCTCGAAAACCGCGGAAGAAGCCAAAACGCCGACTAATATTGATGAAGCCGGAAGCGCGTTGTTCCGTGACACCGGCGGAATCCGATCAATTTTATTGGGCCGCTTTGATTGATGAACGGACTAGTATAAACAGATCTCGAGTTTACCCTCCCCCCGCCACATGTGACCCTTCAGAACCCTCCCCTCCGTCCGTCACTGCCGAAGTTTTATCGACCGGCTGAGGGTGGGTTTTTTTTCTTTTCTAGTTTTTTCCATTTTTTTTTTATCTTTCGTCTGCAACGGGCAATTGATTTATTGTGCGAGATGGACGGTGTTCCTATATACGCACATATATATATATATTATAGGTACCTATATTCTGCACCATAGTATACGAACGCACACTGCGCAGAGCTCCCGTTTTGTTATATATACGCGACGACAAATACATTCGATAAATTTTACAATTTCCCCCGTTTTATAATCTATATACACGTTATATTATAATATATACGTTTGCGAATTATGTGTGATTCTAATACTTCACCCTCCGCCAACCACCATCTATTATACCGGTAGCCCTTATATAATAGCCAACCACCGCCTCCAGCACCATCACCATCATTTACTGATATATTATTAGTACTTTTGAGATGAATTATTTAAAAATAAAACGATATAACAATATATTATTAATATTATTATTATTATCATACGGCACTATATGACGGATTCGTTTTTACGCGATCTTCTCGATAAACGTTTGTAAATTTAAATTTAGACATGATGTGCAATATTAAATGAAGAGCTACCGGCCTAGTGGCTTAGCGAAATGAAATAGTTTATCGAGCAACATGCATTGTTTGAATGACCTACCCCTTGACTACTTAATCTTATTATTGATAAGACCACCCACCCACCTATTTAAAATTATCGGAAAATTCCCTTTGAAATCACAGTCAACACGCTACTGGCTGATGGCTGCTCGCGCTTTATCTACGCCTTCTTCAGAGTTGGTCGTTCGATTAAATATTTTTGTCCCTCGCCGGTTGCTACGCCCTTGTTCCATTACTCCAGGGTCGGATCGAATAGTATGATACATTATTTTTTACAGCTCCATAATGAATAATAATAATAATATAAAGGTAGGTGCTTTCAAAATGTTATATTGTGTAATAAATAATATTGAGCTCAATACATACGTCTCTACGCTCTCTGATTTGGGTTGGATCGGTGATTATATTGTTATTATAACGATATAATATAAAGAGAAAATTGCCTTTTGCGTTTTTCTCGTCTACAGATTTTAAGCCATAAGCAATATACAGCAATTACAATTGTTTTTTAATTCTCATTCGAGAGTAACGACAAATACCTCTCAATTCTTTACAGTCTTACACCATCCTTCCACCGTTTTAAGTTTTAGGTACGCATAATTTATTTATGTGTGTAAAAATGTATATACCTAACGATAATTATCATAATTTTATTATGGTAAAAGGTGAAGGTTCGTATTATATTATAAAACAATGGCTTGCCGCGATAGAAGAATTGGCTTCTTTCAAACGGTTGTCTGCACCCTATTCCGGAAAAAAAACTGAAATGGCATCCCTTACATAATGCCCTGTACACGTTTATGAAATAAAAAATTACCGAGGAAATTACCGAAAAACCCCTCGTGTGTTGAAAAGTTCGCTGCTCGCGGAGTTCACGCCGCCGCCAGAAGGACTGCGTGCATCCGCGGGGAGTACTTTGACCGTTATCGTAAATCACGACTTTTAAAAAAGGCCTAACCCTTATCGTTTTTATGCGTTTGTCCTCCCTCCTCGCATCAGGGCGGAAAAACGTTAAAAAAACATTAGCGTAAATTAATAATAAAAATTCGCGTGCGCGACACGGGTGTAATATATATAGAACACTCCCGAGTGGATATATTCATAAAATATTCACCGTAATTTTTTGTCGAATTAGTTTAATTAATTAGGATATTCTGAATGCTGGGAATTTTAAAAATTAATAAGTTTTTTTTTTAATCCGCTTAATGGCCGTAATAAATTGCTCGATTCTTCTTTTGCTTATGAAAAAAAAACAACAAAACTAATTATATGACGTTTTCTATAAACATTTTTACGCCTGGTTGTAGTGAAAGTTGCAAATCGTTTTCAAATCTTGTTTGAAACAATATCGATATATTTTAACTAAATATAGTTATAAGTTTAAAATATATATTACAAATTGTATTACACAACAATAAATAATTATAAAACGTACGGTTATTATACATTTTATTATTTCAAATATTCTAGTTTCTTGATTTGAATATTAACCAACCGACTAACCTCACTTAACCCTTCAAACCTAACAACCACGACGTACCACATTTATTGGGAGAAGCATTACAACTGACCTCCAATCAAATATCAACTTAATTAACTACTTAAAGGAAATTGAATTATATAACCTAGGTAATATAAGCATAACCTGTACCTACCTATACAACTGTGAACTATATGTAAATATAATGTAAACTAATGGCCTAGAAGCCGATTTAATTAATAAGATCGATCAATAAAAATTAACTTAACCCTTGAGGCTATTAATAGTATTTTTCATACCACTACTATGCATTAATAGTTAACAATTGAATTATTTCTAAAATAATTGCATTATTAAGTTTTTTTTGTCTTAACTTTCACTACTTATATATGTATATAATATGAACTCAACAACAAAAAAAAACTATTAAATTTAATTACTCGTTTGAAACCATATCATTACAACAATATAATACGTTGAAAACATAGAAAAATAAATTATTCGTGTTTAAATTAGTACTAGAAGTTATTACCATTAGTGCATTCATGTTTATCATACCTGACACAATTATTTTTTTATTCGCTTTAAAAACTTACAGCTGTAATAATATAAATGATTTAATATTAAGTATTCTGAGAATTTTAAAAATTGTTTGAAAATAATGTCCAAGAATAATTATCTCTCAGTAGTATAATTTATTCGGTAGATATTTAAAAATTAAATATCATAACGAGAGAGTTGGATGTTAAAATGAAAAATAAGGTAATTTAATCAGTCATTTTGGAGCTCGTTCAAGTAAGAATATTCTTAAAATAAACATTTTAATATTAACAGTTTTATTTTGATACGTTTATCCACAGTATATCTATAAAGCGTTTTTCATTTACTTAATAAGCTTCTGAACAAAAATATTTACTGGATAATCAGTTTTTTTTTTTTAAATATTTTCGAAACATTTTTGTTTTTTTTTTATATTTCGTCCATATCTAGCGTATAATATAAAATAAAAAAATTCCACACACGTGTGTTGAGCGCATTTCTCTATCTATCCATCTATCTCCTACGTGTATATTAAATGAAAAAAAAATAAAAAAAATATATATGTAGAAAATATATATGATTGTTTCTCCTCGTCCGTAATATGTATAGAGCTCGTTATCACGTCCAAGAAATTCCGTGTGCCAGCAGCTGTCAGACGTAACTTCTTCAATTATGTCTCTTGTTCGGATCTCGTTTTATTCGGCCTTTTATGTATTATATTATATTATTGTTCCGCGTGCTGAAAATATGTGCCTACAGAGCGCTTTTCAATAGTACTAAATAGTTTCCCCGTGGACGTAACTATACTGTCGTCTGTCGCCTATAATATGGCTTAGGTAGGTAATAGGGTATAGGTGTACGTGTACAGTGTGATTTATTTATTTTCCAACGAGCAAACTTTTCTAAAATCCAAAGCGATTGCTCTTGAATTCGCATACAAATAATATAATATTATATATTAATTATACGTCTCGATTGAGAAAAATCGTTTTCGAATTACAATATAATATTAATCAATTATCCCCCTCTTGAACGCATAGTACACTGCAGTAGTCTTGGAGTCGTCAAGTCGAACACCGCACTGTAATTATAAATTATATATACTAATAACGTTGTAGCAATAATAACCGATTATTCTATCGAGATTTTGTTTTAATATCGTATTGTAATATAATAATTAATAATAATTACAGAACCGTTAAAATCAATAACGATGCCTAATCATAATAAAAGTTGAACGAAATCGTATTTTACACTTGGAAGGCCACTACCAGCTGCAGCTGCTAGGTATTATCGTAATAGAGGTACACCATTAAGACGTTAAAATGACACACATTATACTATTATATTCAGGACTTCGGTTGTATTCTCTCTCGGGCCTTGAAATCGACAAAATCGATTTTGAAATGTTTTGAAATGTCTTTATATAATATACTAGTCGGTTACCCGTTTGATAGGTACTAATACTATTTACAGTATTCTATGATCAAAATGTTAAGCTACATTTAAACCGAACTTGCCTGCAGGTTATCATAATATGCAAATAATTATATTGAGCTATTTATTGAATTTATAATACCTACTATGGCTGATCCCGTGCACTTCGTTATTTATTAGAAAATCGGTTGACTACTTCCAGAGATAACCCCCCTAAAAAATGTCTTCTTTATGTATTAATGTAGCTGATATAGATTAATATGTATGATAAATTGATAACCATATATACTAACCACGGTATGCATTGTTGTGCATTTTAACTCTGAAGCTGTAATGTTGGTATGGGTGACGGAAATAATAATTACGCAACAATCTTGATTAAAAATGATATTTTGTAATTCGAACCAAAAAAAAAAAAATACACGCCTAAAGCGTTATTTTGTGTAAAAAAAAAAGAGTAGGTACCGTTCACGAATAATCGATCACAAACAAAGCGAAAACTAATGCTCCGCGCTTGCATAAAATTATACGATTATACTTATACAGCAGAGTAAAACTTGTACACTACAACGCTTGTGATTCAGCTGTTGATATAATAATAATAATAATAATAATAATTTAGCTGTAACAGTATAATAACGGATTACGACGTCGAGCGTTTAATGTTCGCTCGTTATTGCTTGTATTGTTGCTATTATTTTGCTTGCACATTTCGAATAAATATATATGTATATATTATTTAGGTTAGGCGTATACTGCATAGAAAATTGTCATTACTGTATAATAATATAATTGCGGACAATCGGCAATGACTAGACGGATTTTTCGCGGCGTGTTTAATACGCGAAGACTATAGTCAACAATTATATTATCATTATTATTATATATAATTCATCGTAACGATCATAGTCGTTGTAATGTATTGTTATTTTAATCGCTCTCAAGCTTT